TCATATGTTGAATAAACCAATAATTTCTAAGTAAATTCCCCGTTATCCGTCCAGACAAACAGATGTTACTCAAAGCATTCATCAGTGTTATACGCGGCCACAAACAACCCCAGTAAAAATAGGCGCTTGATTCTGAACATCTTAAATCAATGTGTTGCAACCATCACTTTTAACCCGACATTTCTTCTGACTCAAGTAGACAGTGCAACATAAGTCCACGCCTTGTCAGTACCACCCGGTAGAGTAGTTTTAGTTGACTTCATTTGCGGTTCAGTGTAGTGTTCACTAGGCTAGGTCATTACGTTGGAAGTTACATTTTTAGAAACACATTATAAGTGAAAAGCAACACAACACGTGTTACCTAGGGCCCAATGAACGCGGCCTTCAGTCCTTGCTTTGCGTTCCCATGTTAAGCTTGGCATTCACATAGGAGAGATTTGAAAGTGTCTTGTCGGATCACCAAGCAAAGGTTAGGATGGATGGGTTCCTTACAATAGTCACTCAAATTTATTGCCAGACTATGTACGTGTTTGCGAATAGTAAAGAGAATGTTATTATTTATAGAAAAAAGGATTCAGACGTTCGTTTCACGCTACAGTTTATTTCAGTACCTTACGACGACTAACCACCTTTCTTGTATGTCGGCCACTAAACTGGTAACACCAGCGCCATGTATTTGGTATAAAATTGACCCTACACACCACGGAAACCAAGCGATTAAGCTGAGAATCCACGTGGTACTGAGCACGACACACAGAATGAAGTATTTGTGAAATCGCATGTTTACTGACAACTAAACAAATGTGTGAGAAAATATCCTTCGAAAATGAGTGCACAAGGCTTAAGTTCCTATTTCTTGGCTGTCATTCAAGCGCAAGTAAATTTGGTGCGAAGTGCACCCGGCTAATTACGATTAGCGTAGATGAGACTATGGGTCTTATTCTTCATGCATACAAGGGGTAATGGAAAACAAGCAGTCATTTACTTCCTTTTTCACTCAAATGCTCGTATAAGATAGCAATTGGTTAAACTTTTACAGCTTTAAATTCCCCATAAATTATTGGTAACGTTAGTATTCTGTGCACTGCAGTGAAGTACAATCTTGAACACCGATGGTATTTTGACGATGACGACAATGATGATGACTTGTAATCTGACTAAATGTAATCCAGCCAGTACATAGAAACCTACTTAGTGCCCCGCTTCACAAATGGTCTGAATCCAACTGTTGGAGACTATGAAAGTCTCAGATCGAATGAAGTAAAATTTCCTAAAAGTGGATAGTGTTGCCTACTTTGTAGGTACGATATGGTTACCCCGATCATTTAGTTCCCTTCACCTATGAGGCATCACAGCCAGATAATTGATCAAAAGCAGACAGCGTTGCTCACTATGTCTCAAGATATTCAGGCTACCTTTAGAGCATCTTCCCGTTTCACAACCAAATAATCTATTTGGTTAACGTTTCCCAGCTTAATTGCTTCTTTTTTTCCTTCAGACAACCCCCTGGCAATTAGTCTTGCTCCCCAAAAACCAATATTCTTATCTTTAGAAGTTCTGAGCACCAGTTTTTCTCTCTATGACAGAAACTAAAGTTTGAGTGAGCTGGTATGGTTTTTTAACCCTAGGACGGAACGAGTTGATGAATGTCCAAATAACATTTTGGTAAAGGTGGCTTTTTTATCTGCAGAAAGTGTAACTTATCAACGTTCCGCGCTCTGTTTAAAACGAAAACACCTACCATCAAAAACTTGTGCGTGATTTCGATGCTTGTTTGTGGGGTCCAATAAAAATCTGATGAATTTTCGTATCCTTCTGAATATTTCGTGCCCCTTTTTAGCCTTTAAGCTCTAGCACTTGGAAAATCCTTATCAAATTTTGAAAGCATAAAGCCATTTCAGTTGGGGTTCCACAAAAAGCTTTAGGCGTTGATTTTCATCATGAAAAGTTGTAAAACAAAGAAAAAGCTTACGGGTGTTGACATTTCGCTTATAACAGGGATGTCCTCTGATGTTCTCTGAGAACATCATAAACGAGAGATTCAGCTGGGCTCCAGGTGAGTCTCTCGAAAGAACCAAATTAGTTTGCAGATGAGTGTATATTCGCCGAAAGTTCAGGGGCTCTGAATCGGAATTCCATGAGCATCAGGAACGACAAAATCAGACTATTGATTGAGACATAAGTAGTAGGGATAATAAGCACAATCCAGAAAACAGGCTGACGTATGAAGCGGTGTTTTGCTCTGACTTACAGCTCACTAGACTCAAAGATTCTGGGGAGGAATTCTAACGGAAGTTGGGCGATCTGATCAAAAGCATGCTCAGACTCATCCATAAGAGAATGGATGGAGGGTTCTCACCAACCTTATAGTCTTGTCACAAATTGATTACCATCTCCGCACCTTAAAGGCTATGAACATTTTCTCCCAAGGAGGTCGAAACGGATTCACGTGCCACTTAATTCTAATACGAGCATTCTGTTGAATCATCTAACCAATACGGCATACGATAACCGCTGTGTGGTGGTACTTTAGTCACAGGCCAAATACTGTCTGCATTTTTACGGTGCTGGAAATCCCAATCAGTCCTAGGATCCTGTTCGCAAGCGCTGGTCTCACTCAGCGCCCAACAGCAACGCCGGCAATCGTTTGTAGGTAAGACTCAAAAACAAGACGGATGGAAATGAACCGAAAAGAAGGAGGTTCTGAAGACTATCAACTGAGATATCTAAAGGCGATATACACGAAATCGCAAGTAACTGCCAGATTCCCACGTAGACACAAACTGTTAAGAGAGCATAGAAACGTATTTACGAATATCCGGTATATGGAGATTATATGGAATACGGCTGCATTCAATAGAAAAAATGTCAAATAACCACCGCACAGGTTTGTGGTAAGGAGTTTTGGATGTAGAGAATAGGTCTAAACGGAACGTCGATCATACTCTAGGAGCAGATCCAGTCTGTCTGTTCCCACGGAAATCAATGGGTCGTACTGCCATTTAGGTGTGATTGGGGGCGAGATGGTTAGAGCGCGAATTTACTGACCGGAAGGTCCGTGGTCCGACCCGACTTCCCCTGTCTAGGCTTAGGCAACTTGGCAGTATCCCAGCCCTCGTGCGACATCGGGTGGCGTGGCAGCTAGGCACCGAAAGCTCGACTTCCCCTGTCTAGGCTTGGGCGGCCTGGCAGTATTCCAGCCCTCGTGCTTCCTTCGGGTGGCATGGCAGTTGGGCACCGAAAGGGTGCTACAGCTGAACGATTTTAGATGCGATTATACAGCAACAGCTATAGTAGTTTCCTCTATATACATTTTTCCATCAAACTATCGTCCTGTCACTTGGAACCCAAACTGAACGTTCGGTTATCATCCACGACTGAGTCAACTTGCGTACCTTATTTCGCTTGATTCATTGTGACAGATCGCAAACCATTTTCGTGTGATAAAACGTGATGTAATCCACTTATCTGTACATTTATGTCCAGCTGTAAGGCTGAATTGATGACAAACTGAGACAGACAGAAGCCGATCTGATATATCGAACGGTATCGCTCAAAACCACCCGGCTTTCGCCGACTACTTGATCATATTTTACGATTGCATTCTTCGGTGGTACTCTGAACTTTGGCCTAAATCGAGAGTATTCACAAAGGTTTGTCGACCTAAACCTGGCGGGCATCCGCTCACCATAGCACAGAAAAAGGATGTCTTTCCCATACCACCATTAGATACAATAGATTGGTTGACGCAGAAAACCAACGGACCCATGACAGTAACTGCTGAGACCTTAAAGAAAGTTCTGCTACACAAGGTCAGTCTGAAACGATATACATGCGTTTGGTGAAAACCTTGACGCAGCAACTGAATATTTTACCACCAAGCTCCGCTCCAGATGAAAACTCGGTCGACTCGATCGCCAACGGCATCCATTATGAGCCTGGTGCCAGTCTAACATTTAATTCGCGTTTCAGACGTTACGATATATTCACAGCCGAACTGAAGAACAAAGATGATACCTGGAGAGTGCTCTCACTGACCAGAACACTCGGTACAACGGAACATACACGGTATTCCGACCTCATCCCACCAATGAACACGAGATCTCAGCTTTGAGAAAACCGTTCAGCAACTTTCAACAATCTTCTGTGAGCGTTCGTCATTGTTTAATATTCGCTAACAGTATGAAACTGTCGGAAAGGGAATCCGGAGACTATATCACTTATGCCAGTAGAGTGAATCTCGAATGTGAACAATTCAAGTTTTCTACCATGACGGAAGACCAGTTGAAGTGTTTTATTTTCGTATGTGGCATTCAGTGATTTTCAGAAAGTGATATCATAGCGAGGCCGTTGACAAGATTGAACAGTCTCCTGAGATGACGCTGCAGTCCATTACTCACGAGTGCCAGCACCTTTCGAAAATCAAACAGGACGTGTTTGCTATACAACCCTGCTCTCAGTGTTGCAAGACGACTTCGAACGGTGCATGCTGCAATGCGACGAATGGCATTTTGTGTTATTGTGTCCTTACCAAAAGCACAAGTGTTCAGTGTGAAGTTGACCTGGACACAACGAGAGCCAGCGCCGGACACGGAAAGCCAGAGGAAGCTTCAATCAAGCCTGGAGGTCATAAAGCAGACGGAGCCGGTCAGAACCCCGGTTTAACGCAACACTTGCCACAAACTTGCCAGGTCGATGGTCGTCGCAAGTATGTTACAATCAGAGCAAGCGGAAGCACAATTCTATTCCAGCTCGATACGGCCTCCCTTCACACCAAGAGGAATATTGGATCACCGAAATCCAGACCAACAATGAACACCGCCAGAAATGCATCAGGTAAGCTTCGATTAATTTATGAACTTGATGGTGAGATGGAGATAGCAGGTTATCGTGATCGTGGTTTTGTCTATATTGCTGCCTGTGAGATTAACCTCCTGGGTACCGACTCGACGAATCGTTTGAATCTTTCAACAGCAGTTTGTGTTCATCAACACCTACAGCAGGGGAAAAAGCCCCAGCCTGTGAGAGACTATCGGAACTCGACTGTTGCCGTCAAAAGAATCGGTAAGGTGATCTGTAGCGTCCGGGTGGGAATGTTGATATGGAATCAGCATGTCAATCAGCTAGGCGGACTAAGTGCCGATCCCAAAGGTGATGCGAAACTTTCGGTCTTTCAAGACCAGCACTAACAGTCACTACTTCAATATATCGCCCAAGACGGACCATTGCTGCAACCGAGACACTGTACCGATCTTGTCAGAAAACAGCTGGGACCCTTTCAAACTAACCCACGCCGACGAGCTTACGTTGAAGTCAAAAGAGGAAGGTGTCAGGAAGGTCAAATTCCTGAAAGTCCAAGAACGTCCGAAACCTACTGAGACCCTCAAACTCCACCCAAATCTCGAGCATCCAGGCCGATCAATGACTCAATCAATTCAGCAAAGGCCAAAGTGTTCAGGCACGCTACGGAAGCACGACCATGATGAGCGTTCAGCTACTTCATAAAGGCATGGTCGATGATGATAAGTGTTCACTAAACGCCCGTCGGACAGCTTGGATCAATGTCAAAAGTACCCTTAAAAAACAGTGTGAGGCCCCTTGTGACTTTTGTACTGGCCTGTTCACAATAAAGCTGCTGTGTTCCTTGCTCGCGAGTCTTATTCGGACAGGAGGGGATACAACGAAGGGATATCATGCTACCGACGATCTTAGGGATCCCCCAGTCACACAAAGGAAGTGGCATAACTAAGACCTTCAAAACCTATTCCAAAATGTACCCGATCAGCATTCGGTTGTGGTGACCGACCGGCATCCCAGAACGAACAGGATGGTAAAGGGCAACGCTATACCAGAACTACAAACCCGACATCATCAGTTGTGCAGCAACTGAGTTGTTCCGTGTGAGGAAATATTGATTGGTGATCGGATGTACCTCGCCCAAGCGCTTGTGGATTGTGGCTTTTGTGCGCCTGAGTAGACATCGACCGTTTTACGTCTTCAGGTTCCTGCGATTGACATCTTCTTTTCCCTCTATTCAAGTCGACCGAGAAAACGAGCGCTCAAGATAGTATTCAAATGTGTACAACCTCAAAGGGACGTTTAACGCCCGAAGGATTTTCCCCATCGATCACGGACATGATCAGTTGCACAAACAAAGCAAGTTAAAGCTTTGTCCCCATCTCATTTTAGATTAAACCATGGTGGGTGATGGGAGCTACCGCTGTGCCTGTGAGCATTTCCAACTCAGTGTCATTACTTGTCCAAAACGATGAGAATGAAAAATATCAAGACGAACCGAGCGATGTGTTGCTTTCTAAATCAGCCGATCTTGTTAAGAAAAAGCCAGGCAGGCAACTTATCCTCAAATGTTGCGTACCAACCTGTCCATGATTGTAATCAGAAGACATAGGCGGAAGAGTATGTTGTCACTGTCGACGGGCGCAGTCAGGGTGAGCAGGCATGACACGAACATCCCCGACAGTCAGCCAATAAGTCAAACGGATCACTGACCGAACCCTACATTGTTACCACCAGCCCATTGCATAACAGGAAAACCATAGAACGCATGCCTCCTGTAATTTAAAGTCGTGACATCTGGAGAAACTGTTGTACAAGACTTATCAGAACGCAACGTAGATATACACTTCCCCTAACTACCTGCATTAATGATCGGAATTCTCACCCAGTAGGTTTGCTATGCTGTACGGTCATCAAGTTAACAACATGCCGTGCAAGACTGTTCTTTTCAAGGCCCAGTATTTCGACAGAAACAAAGGAGCATACAACAGAAAGCGGTGGTTATTATTAAAATGGAAATAAGTTCTGTATAAAATAGTAAACGCATAAAAATACATCTAGAGTCCGTTGTATGTGGTCCAAGTCTAGCCATCATCGATTTTCAGTCATTAAACAGCGGAACTACTTAATTCTATACAAAATGCGTCGCTGCATCCGATATTGGATTTCACCGCGGCGGATCATGTAATGCAAGACTTTGGAGACTGCACGTTCGGGAAATCCCTTAGGAAAAAATGGAACAAGCATTAATAAGATTACATTTCGAGCCAGCGAATTGCACGAGATCATCTCACACTATTACCGTTAATCTGAACACGAAGCGAGGAAATATTTGTCCTTACCTGACGAGTAAAGTCTTGCAGTATGGCGTGCTCAGACACCTGACTGCCAATGACGAACCGGCGTTTTAATTGCTTTTCCACGCGCAGAATTAGATCGTGTTCATCCTGAGAAGTGAAACCTTCAGCGCCTTCTAAACTACCCGACATGGCTGCATCCAGTGTGGATACATGAAACAAACGCAGAGCCTCTTCAACGTCAGCTTCATTCGCGAAAGGTGCCAAGCGCATTTTCGCCTGTGCTTCCGCGATACGAACAATGGCTTCGAGTTGACTAGAAAAAATAATGATTAGTTAAGAATACGGTAAATTCAGTCAAATATAAATGGTGTGCCAGCAGTGACAGGACCAATGTACCCTAACTTTGTATTCAGGTAATGCTAATTTCGTCATCATTACTTGGGAGTGAAAGCCTTCAAACATTGAGGAATTGACGAAGTACACGCAGTGATGCCGCACGAAAGGAGCTGAATGGAGCTGGTTTGTCTAACGCCAGAAAAGCAAAAATGATACATCAGGTCTTTTACCTGGTTAAGATTGAAATTATTAGTTGTGTGGGACATCCATTACGCATTACATAGCAGAGAACCCATTTTACTACACAGTTGATTCTCTTGTTAGGACTAGGACTCCTCGTGATGTTGCTGGTATACTTTGACCCAAAAACAAAAAGTCTTACTTTGTTTGAGGGTCAGGTTTTGACTACCGCGATGATCCCGACAAAAAGGGAGCCGTCGTATGAAGTGCAGTAAGCTCTAGTACTACGATTAACAATAGTTCAAGGTGGTCTCGACACAGGCAAGTGAAATATTTACTCCAAGCCATCACGAAGAGATTGGACCTTACCGTGGTCTGACGGTTTGCGCGCCTCAGCGACCCATTGAACTATACTGGAGGGGTCTCAGAGTCTCTCATACCAATAGGTCAGCGGTTAGAGGCGAGATGGCTCAATTGGTTAGAGCCCGGAAGGTTCGTGGTTCGAACCCGACCCTGTCTAGCCTTGGGCAACCTGAAAGTATTTCAGCCCTCGTGCTTCTTTCGGATGGTATGGCAGCTAGACACCGGAAGGGTATCTGACGGAGACATTCTCCTGGTCCTCCATGTTGCGGGCCGGAACCTGTGGCGACTTGTTCCGTAGAAATGGTAATGCATTTGTATTTCCCACCAAACACCGCTGCTTGCAACTCAGCTTTTGAGCCGAGGGCTTTGACTGAGGACCCTAATTGTCCTCCTGTCTATGTGTGGGCGCCCTGACAGTATCCCAGCTAATTTATAACAATGATACCAATGTCTAACAATAAACTCATGCCATATCGACTGTCGCGTGGTGCCATCAGCCGGATCGCCTTACCCGCTGCATACAGCAGAGCGGATAAGCGAAAACAGGCCACTGGTGAAGCCTCCCTTCTCTCATTCACATACTTCTTCCCCCTCTCCCCACCCCATTAATAACTCTCCTCTTGTGGGCCCAGCATTCGGGACTGATGATTCCGTTCGTCTTGCAGCCACTGAACACGCCACTTGCAGTCCGGGGAGAGATACTCGAAGTTGTGGAGCGTTGTACATATCTTGGAAGTTGCATTGTTCTGATTGTATTGAAACAGATGAGGTGAATGCACGAACCTTCAAGGCTCGGGTCGCGTTTGCTAATGTGACACTTGTGGCGTTAGAGTGGTGTATCCCTGAATCTCAAGGGACGTGTGTATCAAGCTACAATGCGGGCTCTTTTGTTGTATGGCTGTGAGACTCGACCTGTTCGAGCAGCGGAACTGAGACGTCTTCAGGTGTTCGACAATCGTCGTCTCAGAACCATAGCTCGTGTGGGCTGGTGTCGGCGTATCCGTAATGAGGCAATCAGAGTTTTCGGTTGTGCAACGGGTACTTTCATTGAAGAATGTGTTTACCACCAGAAGCTGCGTTGGTTGAGACATGTGTTGCGTATGCCGAAGCATCACTTGCCGAAGAGGGTGCCATTTTCCATGTCCAACTCAGAGTGACGGAAGCAGAGGTGACCAACCCTCGACCTGGCAGAGGGGTATGAAGGATATCATAAAACGTTTGGATGTTGTCCGTGCTACTCACCTTCCAGGATGGGGACCATGCAATCCTCACTGCGCCTGGTTAGAGACGCTGCAAGATATGGCTGTCAACCGATGCCAGTGGCGGTCTTGTCAGTTTCTATCCAGTTTGCCTGAATGAGTGTCTGGGGGTGTAGGCACCTCGGAATGATTGTAGTAAGCTAGCATTAAGTCCATTCCCCGCCTACCTTTATTCTTTTCTAGACAATGAGGCTTTCAATTAATTCATGGTTGTACGGCAGCAAAGCATCGATGTTGAACGTTGATATAATGCTGTCGATGACGATGACGCTGATTTACAGTACCTCAATTTGATCGTGCACCACAAGCCGTCTCAAGCTCAGATATTCCAGCTTTGACTCTTCGGGGTACCCGGCGATCGTAATGCAACCACTTGTGGTATCTATGGCACGACAGCTGCATTCAGTGCTGAAACAGCTCCATTAGACTTGATTCCAGTATACCGTCATCTTTGAGTCGTTCCGTTGTTTGGTTCAACCAAGATCAATGCAGGCAAACGGTGTTCAATTGTCAACCCAATATCACAGTCACGCTGATGGCGAAAATTCGTTGAAAGACAAAGATACGAATTGAAGCTACGCCTTCAGGTTTTCGTGTGTCGGCCAAACTACTCGACTCAAACAA